TAGACATAATCAAAATGACCTGCTTAACTTTAAACTGAGCGTCACAACCAGGAAGGTTTTAGTATTTCTGAACATGGCATGGTTGCTGGTGCCATGTTCAGATGTCTAAGTATGTCTACGTATTTCCAAACCTGCTGAACTGCTGGGATTTTTCCATACAACCATCTCCAGGCTTTACAGATAATAGACAGAAAATGAAAAGGTATCCAGTGTGTGGCAGTTCTCTGGGTAAAAATGCGGTCAGAGAAGAATGGCCAGACTGCTTTGAACTAACAGAAAGGAAACAATAACTCACATAAACATCTGTAACTCAGATATGCAGAAAAACATCTCTGAATTCACAGCACATCAAACTTTGAAGCGAATAGGCTACAGCAGCAGAAGACCACACCAGGTTCACCAAAATTGGACAATTTAAAAGACTGGAAAAATACTGCCTGGTTTAATGAGTCTCTATTTTTACTGCCACATTCAGATCATTGTGTGCTAACAGGATAAAAGCATGGATCGATCTTGCCTTGTATCAGTGGTTTAGGCTGGTTTTGTATTAGTGTGGGGACAGTTTCAGGGAATGTAGCATCTTCTGATGGCTACACTGTGGTTGCAAAGGGATGGACATGGTCATGTCACAATGAATTACATTTCATTAAGCATGACCCAAAATGGTTAAGTGAGTCCATAAACTCAGCAAGAAAGTCTTCAGAGAGGTCAAGACAGAGAGCAATTTTCCCATAGACCTCTACAGGACCGGCAGTCTTTTTGCAACCACAACTATCGCCATCTAGTGGCCTTCAGAGACACTGCAGGCAGGTTGAAGACACTTTCACATTGGCTTCATTTCTCCATCCAAGAAGCCTTGTCCTGGTTTTATACGCTTTAAGGCTCTAGCTCAGAACTAGCATTGTGTAATTAATCACATTGTTAGCTTGAAGATCAACTAAGTTTCTGTAATTTACATTTAGTGGCAGAAATGGTACAAAGTTTTGTGTATCCATCACATACTGGGTAATAAGACTGATAACTCCTCACTTTAATTCATCAGTTGTACCTCAACTGAACATGTGGACAGAGCAGCTGGCTCAAGTCACTTCAAATGTGGTACAAGCAAGCAAACAAATGACCTTTCTCCTCATATACCGCCAGTCACGCTGGTTTGTGAATATGATTTTCATGGTCTTAAAATTAATACAAAAGTACAAGAATTATTGTGTTCATCCAATTTTATTCATTCAAAATTTAAAGAAATACCTTTTTTTCTACTTGAACAGAATAAAAACAACTCGGGGAGATCTCACGTGTAAAACTAGTAAGATTTAATTCAAACTGAAAATAAGTGAGATACTTTATATATAATCTGTATTATTCTGCAGGTTCATATCTATAAAACATAAAAACAAAAAAAATTCATAGTTTAAGGTTGGTTAAAAAAAAAAAAAATCACAGTATACAGTACATGGATTCCTCCCACAATTTGCAAAGAACTAAAACGATGTACAAACAGAGGTGACAAATTAAAGAAAAGGCCAACTTTAAGCCGTATGTAAGGTGTGGCATTCATTCATTCTACAAGTCTGTTTGGATGACGGTGCCAGAGAGCCCCGTCTAACTTATCAGTCTACAATCTCCCATAGTTGCTGAGATCTGGCGACTGTGAACACATGACAAACATTATTAACGATTCAATGATCCCTTGTGCCCTGTGGGATTATCATCCTGGAAGAGACTGCTCATGTGATGACAGAAATGCGTCACCACAGGATAAGCTGTGTAGCTAGTCGCAAAGGAAAAGTTCTATTTTGCAGAGAGACAAGCAGACCTAAACATATCAACAAAGCACAGCAAAGCCTCCGAATCCACCCCACTGCATGGATGTCAGGCGTTTGAGTTTTCCTTTAATTTGTCACCTGTCCTCTGTCAATGTAAAGCCAAGAATGCAAAAAAAAAAAAAAAAATTAACAAATCACTGTTGGTAGCCACTACAGTTGAGGAGGTAGCTTCCGTAGTTAGCATCCCATTCTTGATTATCTGTGTTCAAATAATTTACAGACAGACACAAAAACAAAAAGCAATAATCAAAACTACACAAAAAGAAAGAAAGGAAGAAATAGATGCATACATTTTCACCACGTGGCGCATCAGACATCTCAAACAGTCAGCGAGACATTTTGGTAAGTGAACTTATTTACACACTCAGTTGTCTGGTGTGTGAAAACAGAAGATAGGAATCGAAACGCCGAAATTGAAAGTTGCAGTAGAAGAACACAAGAACGTTTTATTGGTGGAAGAAAATGTTTCCCTACATTGCCTGAATTCCAAAGCGCTCACATGACGTGCACTTGTGAATACATGCTCAGAGGGTGTATCCACCTCAATGTGTACAGTCATGCTCTAGCACAACACCAGCCAATCCCTCGTCAAACACAGCCTCACTTAGGTCAGCTCTCAGCATGGAAAGACCTACATTTTACTTTAAAGCATTAAAAAAATGCTTTTCTGATCAGCTAGATGGACGGGACTCAGTATAACTTAAGCTGATAGCGAGTCTCAAACAGCAGAGTTAAAGTAGTCAATCTGTTATAGATAAATCTTCCTTTTGTTATTAAATCAAGGCCTTATTTTCCTTTTTTTTTGTACCATCACATATTTACTAGTCAATCCATCATATACAGGAAACACACAGCCTGCACACAAATACCTTTTAATACAAGAGCACACTGCAGATGCTTGTCTTTAAATATCTGTGGGTGACTAACAACCGCCCCCGTTTCGGTTATACTCGTCCATTTCATACTTATTGGCAATGCTAATGCACCATCTTGTCAACTCAGCTGGCTGCCAGTCTTGTGTAGTGTTCAAATCACGTGAAAGTGAAAGCAGTATTACATTCATGTTTTTGCCTTGGATGATATTCATGAGTTTTTGTTTTTTTTTCTTGCTCATGAGCCAAAATCTGTTTAATATGTATACGACTTCAATCAATAGTATAAAAAAAGCAAGTTTTGGCTGCTCCATTGCCACAAGGGGTCACCACAGCGGGTAGCTCTGCACTTTTTTGTAGTATAACCAGCATAAATGTAGCTGATTTAAATTTGTAGACTGTTTATTGCCCTTTTTTTTGCAACATATATGTGAGTTTCCATGCTCTGAAGTAAATCCAGGGTTGTAAATGTTTGCTAAACATAGAGCTAGAGCAGCAGGTGGATAAAAAAACGAATACAAAAAAAAAAAAAAAAAAAGCCTGTCTTAGGTTATGCTAAGCTAACAAGCTGTTGGCTGTCATCTTACTCTATGACATGTGGTTCCCAAAATATTTTGCTAGGCCCCCCTGTTTTACAAGAAAAATGTTCGCGCCCCCCTCCCTCGCACGCACACGCACAAAAACATCCTCCAACCACACACACCCTTATTTTGCTCCATTGCGGTTTATTTCACACCTCAAACATTTAAGCAAATACAAGTAATCTGCAATAAATTACAGGTAGTAATAAAATAAACTACTAACTCTTTTATGCTACGTCCGCACCTACACGGGTATTTTTGACAACGCAGCTGTTTCGTCCACACGTAAACGGCGTTTCAAATCACCGACTTTTTAAAACTCCTTTTTTGCGTCTACCTGTTTACGAGGAATACAGAGCTCGTCACGCAGCGTCAAAGGTATGTGCCTTTTTTCACGTCACACTGTGCGACACGTTATTGTTTACATGAGATGAATTGCAGAATGGCAGATAGTCAGATTAACAGTATTTTGTCTCTATCTGCAGGTTTTACAGGCTTACATATACACACGCAGTTACTGTCCCTCCATTTAGAAAGGCAGAGGCGTCACGGTGTAATTATTTTACGTGTAGTTGTTTTTTTTACTGTGTAATAATAGTCAACATTGCTATCAATACATTTTTCAAAAAATGCCTCTCCGTGCAAAATGGGTTTAAAAACATAAACAGCTGTAGGACACTGTTTGTCCGTGATTTGAACAGGGGGAATAAATCGTGGCAGGATCAGCCTGATATTATTTGTATCCCACTGGAACTTTACTGTATAAAGAGCTAACATCTCCAAAATGTCAGGAGTAGTTAGTCATTACAAGTGTTTGTGAACTAAAAATCACGAATGTGGAATGCTGTTTGTCCGTGATTTGGAGAGCCCAGCGCTGCTCCCGACGAAGGGGAAACCAATTATGCAAGGGAGACCTACCTTGGCAACTACCTTGGAAACATATTCAGCTATGCTTCATCTCCTGCTTTGCGTTTCTGTGGCTGCCCCGTGCTAGCAGTGTCCATGCATTTTGTTTTTTCCCCCCTTTTCATACCGCGCCCCCCCCTAGGGGGGCGGGCCCCACACTTTGGAAAGGTCTGCTCTAAGCAAACAAGCACATTTCCCAAAATGTTGGTTTATTCCTGTGATTTAAATGATTTCTCTTTTTATTATTATTATTCATAAGATTCAATTTTTGAGCAGTTTATGCTCATAAATACTCTGCATTCAGCACCATTAACAATCACCCTGTAGGCCACAACCAACCTGAGTATCAGGCCTAGGCAGATCTCATTTAAGTGTCATTGTACTGAAAAGGCTAGCAGCATGCATCGCTCTGTAATTTAGCAAACAAGTAGCTCAAAAAGGAAAAACAAATATGAAAATAAGGCCCAGATTTTTAAATATCTGGAATTTTCCATAAGAAAGATCAAAAATTGTGACATGAACCTGCATGAGAGTGCTTGTTTTGGTTTTTTGGTGAGGAAAAACTAATAAAGGTGCTGTTGTTTTGGTGAATGCTTGTTATTACACTGTATTTATCATTCAGAGGCCAGAAACTGTCTCCACCCAGCCAGAGACTTAATGCTACTCAAACAATAAATAATCTTTCACAACCGCTGCGCCTAGTTGTTGCTGAAACAGTGATATCTGCTACTTTTAATCACATTCTTAGTCTTAAAGTAAAGACATGTTTGTTTTAGACTATTTTAGACACTTTACAATCACACGCAGGCAGGGCAGAAGTTATTGCTGACTTTATATTATCCCCCCCGCTAGGTGAAGACCACCTGAAAGTTACATTCATACATGAAAGTTTAGAGTGATTATTACATGTGCTACATTTTTGTAAAAGAAAAAAAAATTATAAAATCAAAAGTTGCTGTGAAGAAACTTAAAAAATTGACAAGATGTATAATAATTAAAAATTTAAAAGCTTATAAGTACAGGTGAAACAGGGCAAAAAAATCATTAACACATACATGGAGGCTTGCAGACGCAGGCACCGGTGGCAACATTTTCCTTTGCGAGATCCTTTGTCGACCAGTTTGTGATGCAACTTTCTCGGTTTAGGTCTCCTAGAAACTGTTTCTCAGTTCAAAAAACCAAGTTCCCTTTAAATGATTGGCTGCGTCTGTTAACACAGTTATTAGAAACTAAGTGCTTGCTGAATCGTAGGGTAGTTGGCACATTTTGCTGTTTGATATAAAAACGTTTATTCTTGTAGCATCCAAGTTGACATGACACAGATGCGTCATTAGTCCTTGACTCGAGGTATGTTGTATGAGTAGTGTACAAGAGGAAGGCCTCTGCTCTGACAAAAGCAAGCTCGGCCACACGCCTGAATCTGGTCCGAGCTATCTGACACAAAAGAGTCCCCCTCGTCTGCGTACTCAGACTGTGCAGACGGCGTGCTGCTGTCTCCCCAAAACCCCTCCGAGCGCTGGTATGCCGCAGCTCCAGCCAGGAGGGTGGGACAGCTGTGGGACTTAACCAAGTGTCTACAGACTGTGGAGGACGAGGGGGAAGAGCAGGTCCTGGCCCGGAGTGCTGCCTCACACTGCTCACAAACAACCACCTCACCGCAAAGCTGCGAGTACATCCCACAGTCAAAGCCTAGGTGTGTGGAGGAGCCCCCGTCTGTGAGCTCAGACCCTCCGCCACTGTCATCTCGGTGACCTTCTGTGGTGGTCTTCATCTCCCTGGTTGAACTTCTGCAACTGCGTAATCTCAGCCAGTCCTCCCTGAAGGCTGGGCTGAAGAACACGTACAGCACTGGGTTCAGGCAAGCGGGCAGCGGGAAGAAGATGAGGGTGACGGTCTTGGCAATCTCTGGGCCACCAGCTGTGGAGCCAGTCAGGAGGGGGGCAAAAGAGAACGCCGCCACAGGACAGAAGAAGATGCAGTTGGTGAAGATGAGCCAGGCGATGTGTCTCAGGGCACCCGTCTGCTCCGGATCTGCCAGCTCCACCCTGCCCAGTGTGCAGTACAACTGGGTGTACACAGCTGCGGTGAACAGGTAGGCCACGGCGTTGAGCAGCACCAAAATGACCGTAACACTCAAAGCTGGACGCTCACCGCCAGCAAACGGCAGGCAGAGAGGAGACGAAGACTGATCACCGGAGGTCACGAGAGGCAGGCAGGCCCCAGCGGCGGCCAGTAGTGCCAGCAATCCTGCAGCGAGGCTGAAGCGTCGATCTCCTCTTAAGCACAGGCGACGGCTGCTGGCACTCCTCCTGGGCGACATCATGACCTTCCCTAGAATCATCCGCACGGCCACGCTGCGCTCCACGGCTGCCAGCGACAGCAACAAGACTGACCACTCTGACGAGAAGACGGCCAGAACTCCTGTGATCTGACAGCCGGGTCCCATCTCCCACCACACCCCAAACTCAGCGAAGGATCCCCACGTAGCAACATCGAGCACAGTCAGCACGCCGACGTACAAGCCCGTTAGCAGGTTGGCCAGAGCCAGCAGCCCCATCAGCAGCCTGGCTGGAGAAAGAGACGGGGTCGGGCAGTGGGAATGGGCAGCAGCTCGGTGTGAGGGAGAGAAGGTGGCCACCAGCACCAGGCTGTTAAAGACCAGCGACACCAGGCAGATGAACCAGACTGTCAGACGGATCATCCAGTTACCCAAGAGGTGTTCACAAGGCTTGAAAGCTCCTGAAAAGCCAACAATATGACAAATTTAGTTATTATCATTTTTGGGATTATTTCAAATCTTTAACACTGATTGATAAACACAAAAGCTGACTACCTGGTGAAGGAGAACAATGCATAACCATTGAGATTTTTTCCACATCTTCCCCACCTACAACAAGAAAGAAAATGGATATACAAAAAGAGGGAAAAGTGTTTTTGGGTTTTTTTTTTTAACTCAATTCAAACTAGTAATATTGCTGTTTAAGCTCTCTGTGATACTTTCAATTTAAATGTAATTTACATTTTTTATATCTTTTTTTGGGAATTTTACACACTCATGACAGCCAGGAAATATAGCACAATATTTAATGTTGGAGATGGAGTTACACTAACACTGCAAACAATTGTTTTACTTAAATAACACATGCAGTTAACATGTCCGCCATCCCCACCTGCAGTTTTCTTCATGTGTTCTTTCTCAAAAGAAGTCGTCACTGAGTCACATCCAACAAATGCACAGCACTGGTAGGCGTAAGGGACAGAAATGGACCTTAAAAAAAGAAAATGTTTATCATTTAATAGCACTGGCAGATTTAAGTGTTGTATATACATTTCTCGCCCTTCCGATTGCTTCCAATAGTAGTATTTAGATGTGGATTAGCCTCCTCATTCATGGAAGCTGTTGTGTTTTCCTCAGTTTTTCTATACCATTGTTGATTTGTTTCTCTTTGCTGTACTGAGGGACAACTGTTCAGTTTATGCACCATGTGTGCACCATGTATGCTTTTCAATTCTTGAAAACTACTTGCCCTCTTTGTCTAAGCATGCAAGTGTATTTTACACTTACATGCCCTCAGCCTACACAGTGTCATTCTCACCTGAGTTTAGGCAGGTTATTTGCAGTTAGCACATTTTTCATCTGCGGGTTCCCGGAGAGTTTCAGCTGACTGAGCGCGCTCAGTCCAGCTGTTGGAATCCCAGTGAGAGAGTTCATACTCAGGTCTCTGCAGAAATGATTGGACACAGACAGTTTAATTTTGTGGGGCACAGAGAGTGACACCAAACAGTGTGACTGAAGGTCCTACTCACAGGTTGGTGAGCGCCCTGAGGGTGAGGAAAGCATCTCTGTGGATAACTCGGATTTCATTTCTACTCAGGTCTCTGTGTAACATAACTCAGTGAATTCACAAATCAGCCATAAAAACATGTTTATATTGCATCAAGGAAGTGCATGACTAAGTGGACTTACAGTAAACGGAGAGCAGAGAGACCTTGGAAAGTGTCTTGGTTAATTTTTTCAATATGATTGTGCTGAAAGTTTCTGTAAATGGGAAACATAATTTTATCAGGTTATAAACAAGCAAACGTTTCTTTAATCGCCTTATTTGTTTATTTTTTCTGCCTTTTAAAGCTTTCTTTTGTGTAATGGCTTTTCAATCTTCACTCACATCTCCTGCAGCTGGGTGCAGCCCTGGAGGGAAGGTAACTGTTTTATCTCATTGTAGGACATGTCGCTGATGGAGGAAAACAAACAGATTCAATAACTGCACGACTGGGACAAATTAAAATGAAAGAACAAAGACAAAAAGGTTGGACTGTTCCATTCAGTGATAACTGGTCTGTAAAAATGAGTGCACAGACCTTACTAAAACACTATATATAGTTCTGCACTGTTCGACCTACTCTACTCTCTTTGTATGTTCCTAACGATCAATTACCTGCTGTAGGTAACAGGAAAGAGAATGTTTCTTACAGCGTTCGCAGCACTTTGAGGTCCTCGCACAGATCAGTGGGTATGGACGATATCTTGGTGCCCGACAGGGTCCTGAATATGAAAAGCTACTCAGTCACTTCTGAAACACAAAATCGCACAAGCAGAGAAAGATGCCACATCTGAGTTCACTTACAGACTCTCAAGGTTGTTAGTCCATGTAAGGATGGGGAAGTCCTGCATCATACTGGCGCCACGCAACATCCTGAAAACACAAGTTTGAAGAATAGTAAAATCATTATTACAGAGATCAAAGTGTGAGATGGTGTGACTGAAATAAGTCACTGACTCTTAGAGCACATTCAAATGGCCTTTTTCATATATTTTTATTCAGCACTACCATCTGTCAGGAGTTGAGCCTGACGGAGGGACTTACAGTGAGTGCAGGCTGGACAGGTTCTGGAAAGCTGACGCGCCCACAAACGACAGAGGGTTGTCATAAAGATGTCTGGGAGAGCAGAGGGGGGAGAATTCAAAGCAAAAGTCATTCACTATGCGAGAATGGCACCATCTTCTGGACATTCATCTTTCTGAAGCCTCAAACTTGTATATGGCGTATTTACAAAGTTAAGTTATGAGTGTGCCATGTCTGTTTATAAATGAGTGTCTGCAAGTCAGAGGGGAGAGTTGGACCTTACATGGTTTTTAGCAGGGGATTGTTGTGGAAGGCCCCCTCGGGTATGGAAGCAATATCATTGCTATGAAACCCTCTAAAGAGAGAAGGTGGCAGTGTCAGTAAACTTTCCACAGTTCAACACGTGGCATACACATTACTTAATTTCACATACTCTAAGCCAAAGTTTTAAAAAAAAAAGGACATAATGATTCTATCAGTGAGTGTCAAATGCTTTAAAAAAACTTTTATCAAAAAAACATGTTATCTATTTCTCTTTAAACATCATATCCAAAAGGTAAAAGCTCAGATATATAACGATGTAACAGCATTAAAGTCAACAGAATATTTTGTTTCTGTGTGTGACAAACAGAAACAGTCACAGAAATGAAGGTAGCTTCAAATAATTTCAGTATACATGTGTCTAATCCTCTAATATTTAATATAATTAATATTTTCCTCATTACACATCTGTCCTTTTTTAAACCAGAAAAAAAAGACAGCAACTTGCCTCAGTGAGGCATTAAAAGCTTCCTGGCTTTAGTAACAGTACAAAATGTCTTTCTCAGGCAGCAGAAATGGGGCAGTATACTCACAGCTCTTTCAGTTTGGGGAGGGCCTGTATTGCTTTGGGAAACACATTCAGGTTGTTGAAGTTAAGATCTCTAGATAGAGAGAGACACAGGAAATCAGCGCAGCTTCATCCATCCTGTTTCACATCCAAAAATCAATGCAACATTCAAACAAGGACATCTACAATTAGGAGGAAAGACTGGTTTTGTGACTAAGGCCAGCACAGAGTCACGCACTATTGCGTGCCCCCCCCCACACACACACATTTTAGCCAGAGTCAAAGGAAAATTATCAGCCCTGTAAATATTTTATAAACACTTTTGTTAATTGGGGTTTCATGTACTCGGACATAACTGATGTTTTTGTTTATTAGTGGTCACACATAATGGGGAAATATATTGATTTCTGTCAGAGACTTATTGCCTCTAATGATCTACTGATCAACTGAGCCTGTTTCTTCCCCCAAAGGCCTAGCTCCAGGAAAAAACCCTGCTCGTTTCTCTAAATATAACAAAAGCACATTAATCTATTAAATATTAAAATACTGAATGCTTCCAAGTACACTGTGTTATAAGAAACTAGTTAATAATCCATTTTTAATCAATTTATTACTGAGTTCATATTTTAAGCAAAAAAATAAATATTGTTGACAATATCCTTGTTCAGGTTCCAGAACTGAGACATATTCAGTTTCAGTCATAAGCATTTTTCTTTGCTTAATAAACATATGCAATAACCCACAATGAGTCTGCCCCTGAATGTATGAATGAATGACTATACAGCAAAAGCAAAGAAAGCCCTTCAAGTCCTTACCAAACCTTTCTGTCAGCAGCTAAACCTCCTGCCTCCACAGATATTACACAGTTAAAGAAAAAAGATACATTAAAAAAACTGTTGAAATGTAATACTGCACTAATTTTATAAGCTTACTTGTGTCCCCTGTGCTGTGTCATTGTGTCTGTAAATACCAACAATGGCTCAGAGCAAGTGCCACCAGATTATGTGTTGTACAGTAACCATTTGCCAGGAGGTACGGCTGTCTCTGAAAGGTTTTTCATGGCTCTGTGGCAGTAGGAAGTGAACAGTGGGAGGGCAGATTTGATAAGCATCATGTACTTTGCTCTATTTATCCTAGAGCAATTAAAGGAGGAAGTGGACACAATGATGTCTGGAGGACTGAAGCAGAGGAGGGTGGGGCGAGGGGGGAGATGTTAACACACACAAATATGAGCACCAACACGCACGCACACACACACACACACACACGACAACAATTACCATACTGCTGCGTACTTACAGCGTCTCCAGGTTTACAAGTCCAGAGAAACAGTTGTCTCCTATCTCGTTGATTCTGTTGTTGTGAAGATGCCTGAAAAAGGTAAAACACAAATCTGCAAGACCGTCGTACCAAAGAGAAATAAAATCATTCAATCATTCCTCGTGGGTTTTAATCTACTTTTCAGCTTTTGCAAAAATATTCCATGCATGATTTCTGAATGGCGCTTGTGAATCAGGTGTCTGTGCTGTATGTGTATATGCAAAGAGTCCTCCTCGCCTAATAGATTCAAGGTCTTTTCTTCCTGTTTATTCTGACGTGTTTATACTAACCCTGCAGCAATGCCACTCAATGCGTGTGTTCTTGAGCGTGTGTTTATGTGAACATATAACAGCAGCAGTGGGAAAAAAAAAAGGTCTGGAACAATCCCTTGGATTCGCAGTGCAACGCATTTTTGTACAAGCTCCTGGCAAAGGATGGTTTTAGGATTTCCCTTAATACATAAAACAACATAACTTCTGTGTCACTGCTCAGCATCAAGCTCCTTTTACAAAGATTTTGCTAACATTGATTTGCAATGTCTGGTGCTTGTGGCTCGTTTCACTGCAAAAACACCCTCGTGCATAAACACAGCAGAGAATGAGTAGCGACCTGTTTAGCTGACTTATTAAGCTGTAAGCTGTGGAAATAAACTATGGTATGTCTGTGTTTGGAGTTTGACCCGCAGTCAAGCTGAGGATACATTGATAGCTAAAGCTCAGCTCAAAGAAAGGTATTTTATGTTGACTTGTGGTGACAGAATGATACAAATGATATATGAAAAAACACATACTATAGCTTACTTAACTCAGATGGGATCACAGGCAATACATTTAGATTTTACTAACATGATGTTAATTATATAGCTAAGTAGAAGAGATTTACCCATGACTCTGAAACTTAAGTACCTTTAAACTATAGCTAAACTCACCCTATAGAGAGTTAACATATGCTGGCTTTATAACCTGAGAATCGTCCTCATCTTATTGACAATCCACCCCGAGGAGTTTCACTTTGGCATCTCCCTCAGGCCATGTGAATGTTTGCAGTCACATTGCCTGCTTAATTATAGTTTTTCCAAAAAGTACACCAACAAGTTGTTCCTGCTGAGTTATTCTGTGTATAATTCTATGAAAACTGCATGCAAAGGTCCTCTAGCTATCCTGGGGAATTTACTTTTATGTCAACTGTTTCACAGGCAGGCTACTTAAACATGATGTTAATAATTTGATATTTATACCAACTATCAACAGATAATTTATAGATTTACATCCATCTAAAGTTAAGGCACAAGGCGGTTTGGTGCCCTATGACGTTCATCATCCGCCCTGCACTCTGCAGCATTGGCCCGACTGGCCAGAAACAATTGTCAAGTACACTGTAAACATTTGCGCTCAAATGCTGCTGTGCAGATTTTCATTCTAAACCACAATTAAACAGAAGCTTAATATAACTTACAGTACAACTAAACTGGTGAGGTTTGCAAAGGCGTTGTCTGGTATGTACAGGATGCGGTTAAGTGCCAACGTCAGAGCCTGAAGGTTCGCCTGGTGCCTCAGGGAACCGACGGGCACCTCCATCAGGTTGTTATCATCCAACCAGAGGTGGCGCAGCTGCTGAAGGCTTTCAAAGCTGTCATCTGGAACAGTCGTAATATGGTTGGCATCCAGGCGACTAAAAAACAGAGCAAAGTAGAAACGCATTTCATAAAATCGGTTCGATGTCAGTAAGCACAACCAGAATTCATACATAAGGTGCACCGGATTATAAGGGGCACTGTCGATTTTTCAGAAAATCAAAGGATTAATTTTAAGAGCGACTTATTTTCCAAAAAACAAAGTAATAACGATGGTCCGCTTGCATGCTCTACCAAAAATTGTGCCTTGTTGTGTATCTGACGGACGAAAGCCAAACCAGTTCCACACCACTGAAGTTGCAGCATTTTTACAAACCAATTCTGGTTCATCTCTTTCATTCAACGATCCGCTTTCGCCCTTTTCATTCTCTGTCGCTGCCATGCTTTTTCTGCCACTGACATAAAGACTAAAAAGCTCCTGACCATGCATGGAGGGTTTTACCCCAAGTCCAGCACCCTGATGCTGTACGCTAAGCGGAAGGAAGGGGGCCGGGGACTGGTGAGTGTAAGCACCACAGTCCAGGGTGAGACAACGAACATCCAAGAATACATTGGGAAGATGGCCCCAACTGACCGAGTGCTCAGTGAATACCTCAAGCAGCAGACACCCAAGAAAGACGAGGGAGACGAGGAACCATCATGGAAGGACAGGCCCCTGCACGGTATGTACCACCGGCAGATAGAGGAGGTGGCTGATATCCAGAAATCCTACCAGTGGCTGGACAAAGCTGGACTGAAAGACAGCACAGAGGCACTAATCATGGCAGCACAAGAACAAGCTCGGAGTACAAGATCCATAGAGGCTGGGGTCTATCACACCAGGCAAGACCCCAGGTGCAGGCTGTGTAAAGATGCCCCTGAGACAATCCAGCACATAACAGCAGGGTGCAAGATGCTAGCAGGCAGGGCATACATGGAACGCCATAACCAAGTGGTCGGCATAGTGTACAGGAACATCTGTGCCGAATATGGCCTTGAAGTTCAGAGGTCCAAATGGGAGACGCCCCCAAGGGTGGTGGAGAATGACCGAGCTAAGATCCTGTGGGACTTCCAGATACCGACGGACAAAATGGTGGTGGCTAACCAACCGAACATAGTGGTATTGTAACGGAAACAAAAATTAATCAGAAAAATTGTTAAAATGCAAATCACAACAACTGTATAAAAATTACAACCATCAACTCAAATGCTTGGTTCAAATTGAACAGAAATTTCTATGGACTTGTAAGAACTGTGTAGAACATGAATCAGTCTGTGTCAGATCCTGAATTTGAAATTTCCACTGAAGTCACGGGTAAGAAGTAAGTGGAATCAAGATCGAGGCCATTTGCTTTTTGAAGTTTGCAAAGTCTGCTAAATTTTGCCAGTGGTAGTTCACTCTTTGCAACATAGCACGCTGTTCTAAACAGATTTTTCAGGAGTTCTTGTTGTGCTTGGTTTATTTTTAGTATGTTTTTTTGCAATTGCTGTTTGTTCTGGGAAAGAACAGACTGGGCAATAATGCATTTCTTGCATTTCTCATGGGTTCTGATGGGGTCTTTCTTTAAATTACTGGTCCCAGTAACAAAGGCGCCTGTCGACTCAGAAATCAAATGAAACTCACAACACACCTGGCAGAACATCATGTTATTTAGCTCGTCATATTCCAGCCACAGAAATTCTTTTATCCATGAAACCAAAAAAGCTGCGCTTTCTTTTTGCCTCATAGTCTGATTTGTCATAACTTTTCCGTTTTGTGGTAAGCTTTTCTTTGGCTGCCCCTTCTTCACCCTGACCTGTCTTATTTAGCTGAGCAGAACTAAAATACCAGCGTAAATCCTGCTGCTTTTACACACGTACTTACATAACGGTCAGCGATTCTTTGTGCACTCAACCTCTCATATGTTTAAGCTTGCTGCGGGAGATTTCACTTGTCGCGTTTGAGTAGTAAGCTAATGAGTGATAAGACGATGTCAGTGGAATTGGTGCGCAATTAATCGTCACTCACCAATCAGTGCTGCTGCTCTCTACACACCGTTCGTGCGATTGCAAAATGAAAGTGAAAGCAAAAAGCAAGCGCAAATTCAAACGCGATTTCAATATGTCACACATTGAAAGTGGCTCATCGATGCCAATGACATAATTACTCAGCTACATTGGCAAAAGAATGCAAAAGCATGGACATATATTTTCCTTCCTATGATAGCCCGACGGGCAGGGCTGAGATAGATTTTGGTAGCCCGACTGGAAAAATCGCTAGCCCCTGGACGTCGGGCTAGCGATTTTGCAAGCCCTGGAAGGAACACGAGAAGCTGGAGAAATACCAAGGGCTCAGAGAAGAGCTCGAGAGGATGTGGAGGGTGAAGGTAACGGTGGTCCTCGTGGTAATCGGTGCGGTGACTCCCAAACTAGGCGAGTGGCTCCAGAAGATCCCGGGAACAACATCGGAGATCTCTGTCCAGAAGAGCGCAGTCCTGGGAACAGCTAAGATACTGTGCAGGACCCTCAAGCTCCCAGGCTGGTAGAGGACCCGAGCTTGAAGGATAAACCGCCCGCAGGGGCGTGCTGGGTGTTTTTTTGTTTTTTTTTATATATACACACACACACACACACACATACACATATATATATATATATATATATACATATATCTCAAACCGAACCGAACCGTGAATTTTGTGTATCGTTGCACCCCTAATATATATATCATCCAGGCTGGAAAAACTGATCAGGAAGGCTAGCTCTGTGGTCGGCATGAAGCTGGACACTCTGGTGTCAGTGGCAGAGAAAAGGACACTAAAAAAACTGCTGGACATTATGGACAATGCTGGGCATCCTCTGCACACGGCCATAAACAACCAGAAGAGTCTGTTCAGTGACAGGTTGCTTCTCCCAAAGACAAGAACCAACAGACTTAAAAACTCCTTTGTCCCACACGCCATCAAACTGTTTAACTCCTCTCTGGAGGGGAGAGGGAGGGGAAACAGGAGAAGAAAGGAGGGGGGAACAACTAAGCTGTAGTGCCTCTCCACTTCACTGTGCAATACTTTTTGTTAATAGTCAACGGTGCAATAGACTCCATACTTGAAATGTGCAATTCACTTGTATTTTTATTTTTATTTTTATTCCTATTTATTCTATTTATCCCCTTTGTATATTTTATCTATATATGTCTTTGTATTTATATATGTGTGTATATATATACACACATACACACACACACACACACACATATATGTATATATGTGTGTGTATATGTGTATGTGTGTGTCTGTGCGTGTGTGTGTAGATACACACACACACACACACACACACATACACATATATATATATATATATATATACATACATAGATTTATGTATGTTCAATCATCCAGGTAAGAAAATCCCAGAAAGTTGGTTCTATTCACGTGGATGGAACGTTTTGAAAACCATGTAGGTTTACAATGCCGAGGGGAATGAAAACAGCAAAATAAAATAAAACAAAATAAAAAATTGCGGAAACAAGCAAAAAATAATCCACCTATTAAGAGTACGCCTGTGTCAATAAAAAGGTTTTTAGTCTCTTTTTAAATTTATGCAGATGTAATTAATCTCAAACAACAGGACCACAATAACTGAAAGCACCCTCAGTACACTTAGATCTAATTCTAGGAACAGTTAAGAGATCTGCACCTGATGACCTGAGCGCTCTGACTGGACTGTAAATTGAAATGCTTAAACAGGGTGGCTGTGGCTCAGCAGGTAGAACGGGAGTTGGGTGGTTCAATCCCTGGCTGTTCCAGTTGGCATGCCAAAGTATCTTCGGGCAAGATACTGAACCACAATTTGCTCTGCGATACATCAATCAGAGTGTGAATGTTAGACAGGAAGCACTTGCGCACAGTAAAAAGTGCTTGTGTGAATTAGGCAAGTAAGCGCTTTGATTGCTCAGGTAGAGCAGAAAAGCACTATATAAGAACCAGTACTTTTACTAATACTTACTACTTTATTTAATTGGATAGAAATTGTATTAAACATGTAAACATTCTGTTACAACCCGGCTTAAAAGCCACAACATAAATATGGAGACTAATACCAGAATTTCATAGAAAAGGGGTTTTATTTTAAATTACATAACAAGTGGGGCGTAACACATTCATAACTTTACTGACAACAATGGAAATCTTTCTCTTTTCTTTCTCTCGTTTTCTTAAACTATCCATGTTGTATATTAGGTGGTGTCAAAAGCAAATTACCTATATCATCATGTTTCTTTGGCATGTTCTATAGAACATAAGACAGGCCCTTTTGCCACAGTGGTTTAACTCACAGCCTAATTTTAACCCTCACTTCTGAGAAACAGTGAAACACCTGAAATTCTCCACGTCCCCACAAACTCATAGCTAAGACATGAATGTTTATTTAGTAGCCATATATAGCAAACTCAAATTCTTTGTAGACAATTCACAGAATTTACATTTTTAAAAAGCAATATCTGCGTGTACCATGAATGTAACAAGATCCTAAAATTCTGATCACTGACAGTTTTGGGATTAAAAAAAAATAAACAAAAAGGTAAAAAAAAAAAAAGGATTTAAATAGTATTATGAATGCACAAGTGCTCTTTTCACCATAACCACGTTACGTTCTCCTGCTATCCTCCCTAACTGAGTGTCTCACCCTCCCTCAAAATTCCTCAAGTGTCTGGCCTGTAAGAAAAACAGACATGATTGACATTTAGCTCTCTACAGGCTTTATACAAACCAAGTCCTTACTCTGCCAGTGCATAATACTTCAGCTACAGACCCTAAAACCCCAACAGAGAAAAGACATCTGTTAAAAAAGGAAGAAGAAAGCCAGAAAAAAGAAAAGGGAGGACATATGGAGGGATACAGAGGAGTGATTATAGCTGAAGGCAGAATTTTTAGCACATTTCTCCAGCTGGATGCATTCCTACTTTAGTCTCTGTCAAAGTCAAAGGCAAGAAACTGGTATTTTGAAGTTGGTGAAACGACACTACATATGAGGGTTAATGGAAAAGATAATTGTGAAAAGGCCGATGCTTACAAGCAAACGTAAAAACTCCAGAAACAAACAGAAAAGTTAGCAACGGATTGGCTGAATAAGACTCACCTACAAATACAGCAGCGGAGTGATAAGAATGTGATATGACTGAAAGAATGTTCAAATGCCTCAAAACAGATTAGGCAAATAAATCATTTCAACAATCACTCTCAACATTTTAGTTACTGTAAAATTGCTGTGTACAGTCACACATTAAACAGGAGCCACTATCTACAAGAATTTGGTCCACCTGGTGCGCAACATAAATGCAACTCCACCACACACTCAGGCATGAGACAACAAGGCTATACAGTTTACAGCACAAATGCTTACATCTAGAACAGTTAGTAGAAAAATTCAGCACGCATTTTTAAAGACTGTTTTTGTTTATTAATGGTCACACATAATGCTGGCTGTGCGTTCAGCTAAATCCTAACGGCAACACATCTGCACCGTCAACACTAACATGATGAAGCTGAGGAGGTAAAACGCTTGCAACTGTCACTGTCTTAATTTTGCAGCTCGGTAAATAAATGTTTACTAGTTAGTAATGAACACACAATACATCCTAAATACTACACAAGCTGAAAACCAAGATACTCAGTTATTCATTAGTTGCTGAAGACAACTTTTGGGAGTCAGTCCAAACCACACGGTAGTACTGTGAATCACATAGCGGTACAGCAAAAGTAACTGGGATTTATCATCTGACATTTAGGAATCTTTGTGGTAAATTTAAAAGCGATCCCTCTCGTAGATGTTTACCACCAAAATTGTGGGCCAACTAATCAACACAGCAAGAAGCTACAACACAGCCCTCCCCCCAAAAATAATCCCAGTAAAAATCAGCGCAGCCGATTTTTTTTCCCTGTTTTTCACAACATGAAACTAAAAGCTCAGCTGCACAGTACAGACCCATTTGCATACATTTGTTATGCAAATTTTCAGCAGCAAATGTTATCGTTACATATCATAGTAGATAAACTGTCCTGCAGTGCTAGTGTTGCTTCATTATCATCTTTGTGAGTACCCATCTTGAATGGGTTTGTTAGTTTGACGTTAAATTCCATTTCCACACCGTAAGTTGCTTAATACACTAAGAGTGCTTTGTTACTACAGTACATATTCCTAAGTACACACTTAAAACACATCAGTATCTGTAAATTCTAGAAGAAACAGGCTTTTTAGTTATTGATTGAGCCTCTCTAATAGAAACACTGTATGTTTATAGTAATAATAACAGGACTTACAACAGCATCTCCACTTTTTGACCATTCACATTTTCCATAAGCAATCCAAAACAGACAGTTTTCAGTCCAGAGTTGAGGCTAAACTTTATTTTCCCTGTGAGACCACGTTTGGAAGTTTACAACCTTTTATAACTAATCCAACAATATATCTAAACAGCACTGTAATACAATAACAAAGAACTATTACAATCTCTGGAGCAGGCCTGTGCATCGCTTCCTCCAAGGTTGATGTAGGAGAGGAAGGTCCACTTGAATCCTTGAAGGATTTTTATCTAGACAATACCCGTGCTTATACATGCTGCACGTGTGTGTACGTGTGTTCATGCAAATGACTTACAGAGACTGGAGAGAGTGAAGGTTCTTCAGTGCCGAGTTTGGCACCGTCTTCAGCTGATTATTCTGGAGCATCCTGAGGACAAATTGGAAAAAATATATCTGAATATTTCAATTATTTCAACTCTTGTTACAAAATAAATAAATTCATTTCCTGAGGTTCCCGTCCGTACGCTATCACGTGGCTTCACTTTGGCTATTATTACTCACTTCAGAAAACGGAGTTTCCCTGAGCAAATACAGACAACCTAGAGTCTACAAAATCTCCCACAACTTTTGTGTGTTTAATAAACTTAAAACAACATCACATTCCTGTCTAACAATAACTCTAAAGTCTAACGTTTGCAAACAAATATGAAAAAACAGTAAATGGTGACCCTGACCTGAAGTGAACATTAACTTAGACTGCCTGAAGCCAATATACAGCCAATTATTTTCATTTGTGTACTTATAAGTAACATGAATAAATCACTGGATCTGACACGCATATATAATGTTTCCATGTGTTTCTGTTTGCAGTTTCTATTCAAAACTTCCCCTGTATATCAGCAGGACTTTGAACTTTTGGCTAAGTGCACAATCTACAGGACTGTGCTTTGTTTGTCACTCCCTGTGTGCAAGCACACTAGGGTGTGCTGCCTGATGTAAATTTTGGAGTTCTAGCTTTTAAAGCAGAACATGTACGCAGTTCTCTGTTGGGGGTTCCCATATACACAGTCATAGTTGGGGAAGGGGTGGAAAACTACATTTAGTTTATACCAAGTGTATGCCCAGCCTGTCAGTAACTGACACTGCCACAATGTTCCCACGAACTGCAATATTTACTCTCTCCCCCAGTATGTAGAAAACACTGTCACAGCCGTAAGTGCGTCTGTGTGTGTTTGTGGGGGTATGTGAGTGTTAAGATTGGCAGAGAAGGCGAATGCTTACAGGACTTTGAGCTGATGCAGTCCAGAAAAGGCTTCGGGGTGGATGAACGACAGGTCATTTCCTGGAAGTCGACTGGGTGAGAGAGAGAGAGAGTCAAACTTGTATTTAAGACATTTCTCAAATGATCAAAAGCTACAAGAGGCATTTAAGCAAAAACAGAACAGAGTGTTAGAAAACTGCAGACTCTGTTTTATTTCTGAAGCTATGCATTCAGTTGAGGACTTCTTCATATCCAGCGTCTCTGCATATCATGTTCCAGCTCTCAGGGTGAACACGGGGCCTGGAGTGTCAAAGACATGCGTCTGTGCCCCTGGCCTGTTGTCACTTCATCTGTCACCCATGAGAGATTAGAGCTGTTCCTGGATATCCCCTGCTTAAATCCCTTTCTGAGCCTCCAAAGCATCACTATGAAGTGCTCTTTTTAGAGAGAGTGAAAAATAATTCACCTCTCTGAGGCTGACACAAGCAGAGTTATTCCCTTTGAACAGTGCTGCCACATTTATCATCACACAGCTCCTTCAGAGCATTTATGAATAATTTGAGGCTGAGGGGACAACTCCCTTTCCTGTTGGAAACAGGAAATATATAGGAAATATGGGTGTAAATAAGCATGGGACAGACTGACTGGGATACAGAGACCAAGTATCCTATCTAGCCTGAGAGATTAGCAACAGATTTATCACTCTGCAATGCGAGTCAGGCCAGGCTAAATTCCCTGCAACAAGAGCTGCTGGGTGTGAGCCTGAGAATCAAGGCTGAGTGTATTAGAAGACAGTTTATCCAACTTAAAATTTGTCTTTCTTTGCATGTCACGTGTTCAAATTTATTTGAGAGTTAGTGCACTTTAGTGCACAAATTTAATTGGTTGGATTAAGGAAGAGGTCAGGTCAGAAAGTTAGTAAACTCTACACATAAGAAGCAAAAAACACAATAGATTCAAATGTGTCCACTCTCCCCCTTCAAGATCGTTTCCTTGTGAAGTCTTGCGTCTCTGCCGGCACTGCTGCAGATGTTGGAACAGTCTGCAGGAGTCTCGTGCTGACCACCTGCACATCCTCATTTGTCACAGCTTTAGCATGGCCCTTAAACTCATGCAGAGAGAAAACATTAACTTCTGTGTCAAACTGACCCGACCTTCATGCAGAAGATCATCAGTTGTGATACAAGCAGGGCATCTGGGATCCAGAGAGCAAACATCAGACTGGGTGCTTCTCATTTGATCATTGACAGGGATTGTGCACTACCCCCAGGCTTGTAAAGCCCTGAGGCATCTGAGGGAAAACGTTTGGCGGAAACTTTCTAAACCATGGCGCGTGCCATAACGTCATCGCACACTTTCCAAAATGAAATTCAAGTTCAAGGGTTTACATTTTGTTACTGGGGGAAATCAACGATGCATTGCAAATGTGCGCCTGCAAGTGGTCAGAACAGGATTTCTAAGAAGCGCTTCACATGAGCCGAGCTCATGGTGAAGTTTGAGCTGAGTAACAAACCTGTCATACATTTACTGTGGTGTTATACTTTTTTGTTATACATGTTCTTTAAACACTAAGCAGTTTTCTTATAGTTACAAGTACGCATATTGTACCGCAGATGATTAATACAGAACCTTCCTGAGAAAAAGATATTTTGTCATTATCTAAGTAATTTAGTGGTGATTTCTAGTGGTACAAACTGGATGCAACGGACAAAGAAACACCAGGTAACCTTGCAAGATTTGCACATAATGGGCCTTGTGCTGTAGATTAGCAAACTATATCTACAATATTAAACTTATTAAATCTGCTTTCTGTTATAGTTTATATCTGTTCACATGAAAAAGTCTTAAAAATATTACAATATAATTGCAGAATACCATCAAGCCATTTTATCCATCACAGTAAATCAGGCACAGCCACTTTGCTGCAAGCTTATCGAGTGCAATACATGAAGCAGTGAAGTTCCTGGTCAGACAAATCAGACAGATTAAATATTCCTGCTTCAATAGTCAAATTGGGTCCACTGTTGACTTTATCACAAAATCAAAAAGCATGAAAAACATGGCAATATTTGTTTCTTTTTTTCTGTTAGAGTCATCTAAATAACTTGATAAATTCTGATTTTGGACTTGCATGATACGCATGTTAACAAGACCTTAACATTTAGTATTAACTGTGAATGTTTGCCAGCTATTAGAGGCTGCTACATCGCACTTTGAGACAAACCCAATTATAACCTCCAAAGCAGAAGCCCGTAATTCACAACACCAACAAATCAACCAATAAATATAAACATTTGTTTCACTTCCGACTTAAAGTTTGTCACAATGATGTCTTGCAACAGAATTTGGACTTCTAATTATTAAAGACCAGTCTGCAGGTATAATCGTGACTGCAGCACAAGTTGGCACACGCATAAAGACGCCTATAAATCAAACATGACATTAATCTTGTCAGTAACTGTTGAGTCACTCTTGTTCATTTCCAACAGATAGTGACCAATGTGGCTAATTCGATGTGACTAACTCCATGGGAACTCACACAACCCAGAGCTTGTGGTGACTGTCACAAGCCGCTAATTACGACGCGCAAACACAGTTTGACAAATCGTTCAGGTTTCTCAACATTAAAAAGGTTCCCCGCCTCTTGCATCTTTCAGCAAATTCAGCACATGTCCCCTCAGGGCTTTGATGGATTTCACTGAAGAAAGGCTAAATCCTTTCCTTGTGCAATACCACTCCCACAGGTCTGCCTCTGTCAACAGCAAATTCACTAGAAAATGCACAGTTTTGTAGCAGTAAATAAAAATAACACGATTACTTTCTATCTGGTAAACCACTGTGGGTAATGCACACCTGTTTGTACAACTATTAGTACAGTTACCTGTGATTATACAGGCTTGATGCCATTTCCTATCTACACACAGCAGACGCAGTCCTATGGTTTGAATTTGAACTCCTCTGGTTTATCATCTGATAGTGAACAATAACAATTTGAACGTGATCTGAGCCGTATCGTCTTCTGCCCAGCAATAGTGGCTGGAACTCCAACTTCTCAGAAATGAAACCATGTTATAAAAGCAGGAATACGGAGTAAATCCCATCACAGAACCACCATTTCTTCTTTATATACTTTATAACAATTTTCATTACACTGTAATATATTAACTTTACTTAAAAAGAAACTAAAAAAAAAAAACCAAATACATAAGCTTACATTTACTAAAATAATATGCCAGTTTCTGCAACTTATAATTATCAGAAATAAAGAAACTTTTATGTAACCATTTCAATGCACAAAAGAGAAAAAAGGTGTGGACCATGCGGCTGCAACCAAAAATATTTAACAAGGATGACTAAAAATAATAAACACATTAATGTTTTAAATCTTTGTGTCACGAAACTAAACATATCAATGCTGACTGACTCAGTTGACTGCAATTCCCTCTTGATACACAGAGAGCCAATCAGTCACAGGTTACTTTAAAGAATATAAACAAACGGTGAGGGAGACAGAAAATACCTCTGTCATCACGTCTGTTGAGCTTTGTTGTGCCTTTGGCAAGAAAGAAAAGGAGTGAAGGAGATTGCGTGACTAAGAAGGAGGGAATATTCCTCCCTTTTCTGTGCTCCTGTTCTGTAAAGGGATGGCCTGCACTTTTTTCTTTTTTTTCCCCTTCTCCTCCTGATCTCTTTCTCCCCCTGTTTTTTTACCCTCAGGGCCCATGTGTTGGTTCACTGACACTGCTGAAGCCCTAAAGCGAAACAGTTGTCCACCAGAATTCACTGAATACTGAAAACTGATACTGCTGATTTGCTCTGAGAAAGAAATGTAAAAAAAACAAAAAACAAAACAAAACAAAACCAAGGGGGGGGGGGGTTTAAACAAACACAAAAAATGAGCTAAGGGTTTTTATCAATAAACCCCTGGAAATGCCTTCTCCGGAAACAGACAGCTCAACGGCGGTCAGACAGTTTTGATGATCTAAGACGAGACAGAAGTGGCAGTGAGACTGGGTGGGTTTTTTTGGCCTTGTTTCCATAGAAACCATTGTTTTGCCCTCTTCCTTCCTGCCTTGCATTCCTACACACAATGCGATGAAAAGTAAATTGCCCCTTCCACAAAGCAGGTTTGAGTGGTACACTCGATGAAGATTCTGCCAGCTGAAAGATGCACAAGGGGCTTGAAAAAAAAAACACAACAAAAAAAATACACAACCGCATCGAGTCAAGTGGAGCTGGAACTGCCCGAGTACGTTCACTCGCTGGTCATTTTTCTCGGGGCTGCGTGTTACCTGATACCAGGTAGACAGATTTTTATCTCTGGCACTCAGCAGTGCTGAGCCAGACAGCAAAGTATTTAAAGAGCAAAGAAATAACACCCACGAAGATTAGCTGGAACTCCACTCCAACAAAGCCCCAGAGCACAGATGTGCTGTTGCCACCCTGATAATCCCTTAAAAGCAAAAATCCACACAGGATGTCACATGATCGTTGCCTCAATGCATGTTGTCTTACCTCACCTTTTTAATTGAGCATTACTGCACCTTTTATTATTGCCCTTGCTCAATTCGTGAATGGTGAGTGATTCGTAACCTCAGTTAATGCTACGTTTATCTCCCTCAGCTAAGAGGAAGGGCACGCTCTGTGCACTTTACAGTGCAAGCTAAAATACCCAGGTGCGTATCATAAAGACCAGCCCTCATGTCAACACTGTACAGAATAAATACATCATTTACAGGGGGTGAGGGGGGGCATGTACTCACAGTTCTTCAAGATAGGGGAAGTTTTTGAATACGTATGCTGGAAGCTCAGTGATGTTGTTCATGCTCAGGTCACTGTGGAAACAGGAAAAAAATTTGTTTGAGTTCACCGATACACTTGCAAAGATCACTTTTCATTCACTCGAGACTCTTGTTTTTTTTTTAAGTTGCTTTCTTGGCTTGATTTTGCACTCATTTTCCAAGTGTTCACTTTTATGTTGATTATAATAGTTATCCCATCATTTTCAACAGCTGTCAAGTATTCATTTAACCCTAGATTTAAATAGTAAAATACTCAAAATAAACTTTTGCTTAGTTGCAAAATAACCTCCACGTGAAATCATCTGTCTATGAAGCCTGATTTTATCACATAAACTAAACATGCAGACAAGAGATATTACCGTGATGGAAGATTTTGATTGCCATTGCAGCCTATTTACACAAACAATATGGTCGTTAGATCATTCGTCCCCAACGGCAGCTTTCTATCTTTGACTGTGCCTGCATGACTCTTCAACGTCAACCAAAAAAAAACCCTTGAAAAAGCCCTTCTCTTTAGCCCCAGGGATCTTCATTTTTCAAATCAACAAGTAAAGATAGGCATGTAGCAGCATGAAAAATATGCACAGAGGACTTGATTTGCTTCCCCACCAAACCTAAAGTGAGTGTGTGTGTGTGTGTGTGTGTGTGTGTGTGTGCGTGTGTGTGTGTGTGTGCAAGCCTGTGTTTAAATATTAATAATAATAATAATAATAATAATAATAACTTTAAAAGTAAGACTCTATTGTGTTTAGAACTGGCGGTACAATGTTTTCAGCTGGTGATGAAAAGTAAGCGTCTCCAAGAAAAAAAGAGCGGAAAAAGACGTCTTGGGGTTTACTGCGGATATCACGTCTGGATGCCTACTCCTAATATGTAAAGAGACATCAATCCACAACAGAGACGGATAAAACATCCGGTATTCGCAAATGAAGCAACCCCCTGCACCCCGCTCTCTCTCCCCTCTCACTCCCTGAGTGGCCATCTTGAATTTCACTGCCAGATCTCTCTTGGACCTTGTGTGTGGGCCCCTGAATCTTACAAGGATCATATTGCTCTTCCTCTGCAGACCCAGATACACAAACACACACACACAGACACCGATACATAGCCAGGCAGACACACAAACACACACAAAAGCCTTAAAAGGCAGGCCCTGACAGAACCCTCATCATCCCTGCAACCTACAGCATGTCCCATCTCCATTTACCTGGTTATCCAGTTACCATATAGACTATATAGACACAAACACACTTGTATCAACAGTCCTTATGGTTTTGTTCCTACACTGACAACATCTCAAGTGGTGTTCCCCAACCACGGCTGCAGTGGTCAGATGGATACATCCTTAACCACATTTTTTAACCTTTTGACTAAATCATCCACGCAGACTGTTGAGTGGCCTAAACCACATGCCGTTCTGGGGAGTACAGGAGGCTTGAATGACTCTATCACACTTCCTCCCCTCCCACTGTGTCTGGCTGCTTTACTCATCAAGGTCCTGGCCTGTCCCTGCTAAGATAGATTGAAGAGGATACTAAAACTGCAGCTGTGATAAATGGTGACAAGCCTAAACGCTTCTACAAACAGGTATCTGCAAATTTCTATCCCGTGTGCCGTTTGGCTTCATTTTAGCAGCAAGGAAAGAGATAATCTGAGAAAGGTATGAGATGTGCTAAGAGAAGAGGAAAATATGGAGAGCTAAGGTGAAGCAGGGATATATATTCTTAAAGTCAAAACATAGGATCTTAAAAAAATGCAATCTAAATCTGTCAGATAAGTTGGGTCAAGGCAAGCAAGCACTTGCCATGACACAAAAATACTACATATAAAACTGTGCTGAAAGGGTTGGCACCCACACAGACATTGTTTAAAATATTTAAAACATCTCTGAAACTTCTTACATTCTCAAGTAATTATAAAAAAAAAAACTACAACAACATAGCTATTTGTGACCTAGAACCAATTTCAGGCAATTTTTGGCATCTTTTTAAAATCATCAGATTAAGAAATTAAACAAAGCACAGGTCTGCAACCTGCAGCCTGTGGGTTCAAACTGAGTACAGGTATAAAAATTGCTAAATTACCACAAACAAAGTCTTAACAGCAAGCTTACATGTCAGTACTTACACCTGATAACTACTGGGTGTAACTGTTGCTCAGCCCCTTTAACCACATGATTCATCTCTCTTGGGAAACAGTGTGACAAAATTTCAGAGAGAACAAGAGGACTTATAAGAAGAAGGAAATAAAAAAGCACTTGCGCTGATTCTCCAGAGAGCTAGCTGTCTGACCAAACCTAAACAGGAACCGGGAAAGGGCTTTAATTAGGGTCTGAGGCCAAGATGCCAAGAACTACTGTAAAATAACTCGAGAGGTCATCGGTTCCTGAGGGACACTTCACCGGAAGAGAAAACAATCGCTGCAGCGCTTCACAAATCAAGCTTGCATGACAGGGCCAAAACACAAAAAAGGGGTTGTGTGAGGCACTTTTTATATGCTCCCAGGTCTTGGATTTTTCCAGATCTTGTGTTGTAAGAGCAAAAAAGTAAAACATACAGACTACTGGAGCACACTGTGCCACCTTTTTCCTCAATCTGTAGATTGATGGCTGATCTATTGCATTCTCCGTGTGTGACACTTTCCACCAGTTAGATAAAGAAATGTACAATAAGCAGAAAATGGTAGAAACCTTAATAGAAATATTTGATTTTTTTAAAATAGTCATTCACTGGGTAAATATTAAATTCAGATCTTTGTTTTTTCAAAATGGAAATATACTCTGCTTCAGTGCCTGATACCCTCATGACATACTCACAGCAAAAGCTAAGCAATGCTTTCATGCCACACAATTACATAAAGAAGACATTAACTGCCCCAAAAACTGATTCAAATACACATGAGTATGGAAAAATTTCAACTGTGCTGCTAAAGGCTTGTCAGCTGGGATTGATCCCCATAGACTCGGCATTCTCGTGATGCCTCTAACAATCACAAATTTGAGTTATTGTTTTTGTTTGTGTGACAAACAAATTGCAGGACTTCTTGGTAAGTTCTTAAAGTCACCCAACAGCCACTGGCTTTCATGAGCGACTATTTGTGGGCCTCAAAAAACACAAAACTATCCAATAAAGAAGCAGAAATATAGCAACAGCCAGCAGCCCTCCAACCACAAGCACACCTTACTCTGAGTCTACTTTGTTCAGTGAGGGGCTGAAAGAAGAGAGCAGCTTGCATGTGAGCAGTTGTCTGGCTAAAGGCCTCTGAAACCCTCCACTCCACTGAGCTGGACTAAGAATTAACTGATAATTACAACTAGAGCAGGGCGATATAACCAAAAATATTTATCACGATATACATTTGAAAATTAGCGATAACGATATAAGTGACGATATAATTGACACTAGACAAGATACTTTACAACTCCACAACTTTATTATTGCAAAAAAAAACATCAATGTATTTACACTTAAACAAGCAGCTGTTTTTATCTGCATTAAAGTGATATAAAAATTTAACAGTGCAAATGCAAATTCCTCACTGACAGTTTAACCAAAAGGCATTTCCAGTGGAAATTGGCCGACATATCCTCAGCATAACCATGTTTAATATCCACAAAACTTAAAAAGAGGTTATACACACACAATATACACATGGTAATATTATGTTGAAGCACAATACATATCACTCCGCGAGGCTCCTGCCTACGATAGCCATAATGCTCCGACAATCCATCAAGTGGTGCGACTTTGTAGCTTGGCAAAGTCGTACTAAAACATTTGACAGGTTTTTGAGCACCGTGTACATAAAATCGTTTCGAAGTCAGTAAACACAACCTGAATTCATACATAAGGCACACGGGATTATAAGGGGCACTGTCGATTTTCAGAAAAATCAAGGGATTGATTTTAAGTGAGCCGTATTTTCCAAAAAACACGATAATAACGACGGCACGCTAGCACGCTCTACCAAAAATAGTGCTTTGTTGTGTATCTGACGGACGAAAGCTAAACCAGTTCCACACCACTGAAGTTGCAGCATTTTTACAAACCAATTCTGGTTCATCCGTTTCATTCAGCGATCCGCTTTCGCCCTTTTTATTCTCCGTCGCTGCCATGCTTTTTCCGCCATGTGCATCTGAAAACAAAGGCACTGCGGATGCGCGTTTTACCCATATTCTATCGCGATATTTCATTTTCTTATCATTGCCCAACATTATACCGGTATTACCGTGAACGGTATGTTATGGCCCAGCCCTAATTACAACTATCTTAAGAATGCTGTCAACTGCCATTTATAAGAAAATTATTAGGACAAACCTTAATTCATGGAAAATGCTTGCTATATAACATACACTGAAAAACACATAATAGCACTTATTAATAATACACTTATTAATAATATTAATACACTATTATTAAGTTAAGCAGGTGGTTATGTCAGCTTCATTTAAGCTAAATTGTGACAAAGCATAATCAGAAGACCTGTTGCTATAGCTACAGTTCAAAATCCTTGCACACCAATAGTGGTTCAACTGTTGACCTGAACAACATTTTATTTGCTCTGGTTTTTAGGTGAATATACACCCACCAGCCACTTCATTAAACACACATGTTCAACTAGCTCTTTGACACAAATATCTAATCAACCAATCACATGGCAGCAACTCAATGCAATTACGCATGCAGATGTGGTCAAGGCCCCGACTATATTCTGGTGGCTGCTTCCAGAAGGATAATGTGCCGTGTCACAAAGCTCAGATCATCTCAAACTGGTTTGTTGAACATGGCAATGAGAACTCAAACACCCTCCACGGTCACCAGATCTCAACCCACTCCCGCAGGGATGTCAAACTCAGATTAAATTCTGGGCCACAATCTATACACTTTGATCTTATGTGGGCTGCAGAAGTAAAACTACAGTTTCTCTCACTTTGAATAAGTTTTACTATACATTTAATCAATGAACTATACACTCAATCTTAATGTAAGAAGAGAAGAACATTTTCAACATTATTTCACAGAATATATACGTGG